CACCGATGCAGAGCAGCCCGGGCGAATGGAAAATGCTGGTCTCAACAACAAATTACTTGCTACTCCGCTTACCAGTTTATGGGGTAGGATAGCGGTGTAGATAGTTTTTGTATTTTTTGAGTGGCCCACATTAGACAGTCTGTTCTAAGCTAACAGCTAACAGTGATATATGCACGGCGGCTAATGACGAGTAAGTTATTTACTTACAAACTTTTCTTACCTAGATTTCAGTTTCTGCTGTAGTGGAACTGCCGGTACATAAATTTGCTGCACTGCAATTAGACCATTCCCCAAAAGGCATGCAGGCCGGAGGGGCCATGCAGGGCATTGTAAGGAAAAACAGCACCCAAAGGAAAAGTATTTATGACATATAAAAACATACAAGGCACATGTAAGTTCACTGGTCATTTTGGATAGCAGATAAAATGGTGATATTTGTAGTGTAGGCATACGGACATCTGGCTCCTACAATGTTGAACAAAATAAAAAACTGCTATTTTGTTTAATTTGTCAGCAAATGTTAAAGGATTTTAAAATTTTATTATGATGTTTAATAACCTAAAATAAATATTCATTCCACCAGTTTTTCAACATTTCTGTGAAGTCATTCAGAGTGGTTTGATGTGAAATGGTTCACTGTAGAGAAACTTACTGATTCAGATTTCTTTACAGTGGTGGTGTTAGGAACCAGGGGTCACAGTGTCTACAACATAAATATAACCATTTTATTGACTATCCAAAATGACCACACATGTGACTTCTGACTTTTTAGATGAAATGCTGATGATTGTAAAATTGTGGCAAATCAATTTTGCCTTATAAGGCCCTGCATTTACCACCATGAATGTACTTAAAAATAAGTTTTAGAACAAAAGCTTAGCACAAAACTTTCTAAAAAAAAATGTTTCAGCCATAGGCAGCATATTCATAACTATTCCATGTAATAATTTTCTGTGAGGGAGCTTTTAGATATGTTAATCTCTTCGGATGTCTAGTTCTTATCACTATCATTGTAAACAATTCTGACTCAGTAAGTTTTTCTAGAATGGAGCGTTTTACAAACCAAATCACTCTGAATGACTTTTACATCTCAATCATTTAATTATGAAAAAATATTGAAAAAAAAACCCAAATTCTTCTATAATGAGTTAAACTCCTCTTTAATTGTCAGTAAAAACTGACAAAAATAAAGATCCAAGGTTTTTCACCAATAGCAATAATATGCACATAATGAACAAGCTGAGGCGCAATACTGCCAGTTTGTGCTGTCACTAATTGTCTTAACCAGTACTAATTGTTCAGTTAGCCAGTCCTCTCAAACTTTTCAGGGTTTCTGACCTGAACAAGGACGTTTCACTGGAATGATCAACAAATCTGTGCAGAGCAGTGATGAACTTGGGCAAGTTCCATGGTACATATTTTTTACATGTTACAGTGTATCACTTCTGTACACGGTGGGCAACTGGCAAGCAGTGTACTAGCTTAATAGTAAATAGGCTATTCCATGCCAATTTACGAATGATCTTGAAATTTCATGAAAATTCCACCCAAAGCCTCTTTTTAATTCATGCAACTATAGAATATTTCAAAAATACATTGTTTTAGTTATGCATTCATAAAATTTGCCCCATCAAGTTTGAAATCACCTATTAAATATTAAATGGAACGGACTGAACTGAAATATTAACTATGTGTAAATACAACGCTGAGAATAATATTACAGTTTGAATATTTTGGTTTCATGTTAATAAACTGATACAACAGCTTAAGTATTTGGAAAATGTACCACTGTAATGCATTTAAATCAATTTATAGACACATTATAATGCTTTATGTATTTATTATTTATCTTCAGAGCTAAGTTGTCAGGAGCAATATGCTCCTGGTAGGGTCTCCCAGGGCGAACAGGTCTGGAGTGAAGACCCAGACTAACTCGATCCTCCATGAAAAATGGACACAGACGATCATGTACCCTGCCCAGGAGAGGGTCACTGGGACCTACCCCTGGAGCCAGGCCTGGGGGTAGCATCCCTCAGCGAGCGCCTGGTGGCTGGGCAGCCCATGTAACCCGGAGAGGCAACGTGGGGACACCATGTGGGCCCACCACCCACAAGGCCCAGCATGGGGGAGCGGTGCAGTGCTGTGTAGGCAGTGGGAGATGACAGGGAGGCCCTTGGTGGCCTAGGCCCCTGCGACAGAAACTGGCTCTGGGTACGTGGAATGTAACCTCACTGGAGGGGAAGGAGCATGTGCGGGAGTTTGAGAGGTACCAACTAGATATAGTTGGGCTCGCCTGCACCCACAATGTCGGCTCTGGAATCAAACTCCTGGATAGTGCTTGGTCCCTCTCCTACTCCTACTGCCAACCCAGTCTACATGTGTTTTGTGGACTTGGAGAAGGCTTACAACCGTGTTCCCCTGAGATATCTTGTGGGAGGTCCTCCGGGAGTATGGGGTGCTGGGGCTACTACTACTACTACTACTACTACTACAATCTCTGTACTCCCGGAATGAGAGCTGTGTTCGTATACTTGACATTAAGTCGGACTCTTTCGGTGCTAGCGTTGGACTCCGACAGGGTGTCAAGGCGTAGCCGGGGTCAGGAGGGCATTATGTGTTGAGGCCGGAGGGTGGCGTCTCTGCTGTTTGCAGACGATGTTGTTCTTTTGGCTGGATCACATGGATGCCTCCAGCGCTCACTGGAGTGGTTTGCAGCTGAGTGTGAAGCGGTTGGTATGCAGATCAGCACCTCCAAGCCTGAGTCCATGGTCTTAGCCTGGAAAAGGATGGCATGCCCACTCCAGGTAAGGGGAAATGACTTGCCCCAGGTGGAGGAGTTTAAGTATCTCGGGGTCTTGTTCATGAGTGATGGGAAGAGGGATCATGAGATCGGCCGCAGGCTGGGACAGGTGGCAGCAGTAATGCGGTCACTGTACCGGACTGTAGTGGTGAAGAGGGAGCTGAGCCATAAGGCCGGTCGGTCTACATCCCAAGCCCTCACCTATGGTCATAAGCTGTGGGTAATGACCGAAAGAATGAGATTGCGAATACAAGCGGCGGAAATTAGCTTTCTTCACAGGGTGGCAGGCTACACTCTACTTGATAGGGTGAGGGATTCTGTGCTCTCCCCTCTGGGTACCACAACCCTATCTGGACTAAGCGGTTGATGATGATGCTGATGATGATGATGATGTATTTATTGTAATGTATTATGATTGTATTCATAGATAATTAAAGACATGCAATTCTTAGAAAGTTTTATCATCTATTTTCTTGCAGAGGCACCAAACAACTGTCCTGTCTCAAGTTCACTTTCCACTTCTTTTATTTTTGTGTTGACATAAATGTTTACCACGCTTTAACACCCTGAACACTCCGCAGCGCTGAAATAGATTGAAATTAAATTGTGTATGACAGCTATGATTTACACCCCTTTAAATTCAGATGGGGTTCACTTGGAGTTCACCTCTTATGTGCAGGTGAACAATTTGTTTGGGTGTAATTGTGCCAAGATTGAGATTCTGTAAAAAGGCATCTATTTTCTTTATTTCATATAAGCACAATTAGGAAAAATGCTGGGCATGAGCTGTTTTTGTTGTTGTTCTATGATCTCAGAAGGTTGGACTTGTGACTAAGCTTGCTTAAAGGAACTGCACTGTCCAAATCTGATTAAAAAAGACATTCTTCTTCTTTTTGTTCTTCCTCTGCCTCTTCAGAATCACTTTGTTTTACCAAGTATGTAGTACTCATACAATGAATCTTTACCTATGCAGGTCTGAGGATACATATAACTGTTACATACAGAATATTACAGAATGATACATATATAAAAGTTGTATATGCACTATGTTACAGCAGAGTTATGAAGTTATACACTAAGGGTGTTTTGTTGGTTTCAATTCAAGTGTAAAGTGTGAGGTCTCCACTGTAGTTAATGAGCGGGTCTGGGGAAAAAGCTGATTAGCATGTCTGGTTGTGCTGGTTTTGACAGCCCTGAATCTTCTACCAGAGAGAAGTGGCTGGAAGAGGTGATACGATCCAAACCAGATGGTTATGGTTGCTGTGAGGATTGACTAGATCGCTGTGTAGACATGGATTGTCGGGCTATGCAGCAGGTTGAATTTTTTCAGTTGTCTCAGGAAGAACATTCTCTGCTGTGTTCTCTTGGCAATGTGTTTCTCTCCCACTTTGGGTCTCTGGTTATGGTTGTGCCCAGGAACTCAAGTGGCTCCACCTCTTCTTCAAGGGCCCATATCATGAAAACACAAATGTTTCTCTGTGTGTGGGGGTGTGTAGAGTCAGTACAACTTGAAAGATATAATTTCAATGGAATATGGTACAATTATTGATCCATAACTGAAGGTACTAAAAACGTACCTTTGAGGGTACCACCCCAGTGACAAGAGGGGTACAACCCTAGTGACATTTTGGTACCTTTTATCTGAAAGTTTATGGAAGGTAAACTGTAAAAAACAGCACGTTTTGAATTCAGTGTTCTTTTGATTTCTCAGAAGCCAACTTATTTATAAATTCAGACTGCAGTAGTTTAAATGCACCTACTCATGCTGAAGTTATAAGGAGTGTCGGCCTAGAAATGCTCCTTGAATGATGCACACTACAGGGCAGCCAATCATAACAGAGCTCATTTACATACGTCTGTCGTAAAGACGTTATAACTGCCTGTTTAATTCTAAGGAACCAAGAGAGGTCAGAAAATGGCCATGTTTTTGATGCATATAACTGCATACACATTATAAGTGGAGAAAATATATGAGAATATTATTATTATTGTTGTTTTTATTGTTGTTACTTTTACTATTGTTATTCCCACTGTCTGCATATAAATCTCAACCACTGTTATTACTTCTCTTAGGCCTGAGCTGATATACTGCATATTACCTATGTAGTTTTCATTATACTTTTATTCATAGTCTTATTAGTCTTCTTGTGTCATCCTTTTGGAGCAGTTGTGTAAATACAAAGTCTCACTGGAATTCATCTTTTTGTGAAATGTTTATTACATACATCACTGATTCATTTCATAAGCATTCAGGACAGATCATAGTTAATTGTGAGTGAAGTACATTTTTACTTCTCCTCTATTAATAGAACATTAAAATATCCACTCAGTATAAAGATAGCTTTTGCAAAGCATTTAGCAGGTAGGCATACATTTGTGAAGGCTATTCTCCTTTCCACCACCACCCCTACACACCCCCGAAATAGGCAAAGATGAAGCATAAGTCATGCACAAAATGAATGGAAAATTTATACGTAATCTTCAATGGCAGAGGTATCAGGAGGCACAGCGATGGCCTTAAGCTTGATGTAGTTGACCTGCAGGTTTGTGATGAGGGCTTTAATGCCTTCATCCCGGAGAAAGCGATCTTCTCTGAGGCCTTCCACCAACCTGACAAAGTCCTGCAGTAACTTCATCATCGCCTCCAGCAACACAAAGCAGCGCGTTTGAATCTCTGCCACGTTGCATGTCCCAGCAAGACAACCGAGAACTTTGACAGAGTTCCTCATCTTCTCCTGGAAGTCAGCAATCTTCTTCCGCTGCATTAGGACCTTGTCAATCTCCCAGCCTATCTGCCTCAGCTCATCCTCTGTCTTCGAAATCTCATTGCGAGTCTGATCGATTTTTCTCTCATAGTCAGACACTTTCCAGCTGAACTCTCGCACCAGGGAGTCAAATTGTTCAACCGTTTCCTCTGCCTGCTCGACGTAGTAAGTTGCATTTTCAATGTCATTTTCAGCCTCTGCGATCATTATTGGACCTGTTTTTTTGGAAAGCAAAAAACAATGGTAGCCTGATTATGATCACGAGTCTGTAATTATTCTTTTGATTTGAGTTTCCTACTGTAGAAGATGAGTGCAAATACTGCAGCACAGGGGAAATAATTCAATTCAATTAAAAAAACAAAAAGACACTAGAACATTACCAGCAATCCACCCAAAAATGGGAATAAATGCGATCCCAATTCCAGCATCCCTTCGTGCTTCTGCCTCCTCCACATTCCTCCTCTGAAACATGAGCTCCTCCCATGCATCTCTAAGACGATACTCTGCAGAGTTTTTATTTGCTTTGTACATGTCTAGAGTGGCTTTGTTGTTTTTTTGCTGACTTTTAAAATTTTGTAGTTTTTCTTTTGTGCTTTCCTGCTGTCTAGATAGATTCCCCTTTCTAACCATCAGCTTTTCATAGCGATAATCTACCAATTTGAGTTCCCCGCATGCAGCCGACTCAGCCTCCCCCAGCTTCTGCTGTGCGTTAACTATAGCACTCCGAATTTCCCTGAACTTGAAATCATCTTTGGCCACATACATAAGGTCTTTATCTATATCTAAGAGGCTGATGGTTAAGGCATTGAGAGAGCTAATTCCGTTCTTAAGTGAAGGACTCACTGCCTTCACAAAATTCCTCCCCTGATTTTCCACTTGCAATGACATCCTGGAGAGTCCAACCTGTGAAAATTTGAGAAAAATGTTGTTTAAATTATAAATATCACTCACTTTTCACGTATGATTTTCACATAGCTTTTAGTTGCATTAAATTTAGATGTCTAGTTCTCATCACTGCCACTGTGAACAATTCTAACTTAGTAAGTTTCTCTAGAATGGAGCATTTCACATCAACCGACTCTGAATGACTTTGTTTACATATTAACCATTAAATTGTGGAACCACCCTTTAATAGGGTAGTATGTTAGAAAACAGATATGTTTGCATTTCTTTTTCAGCACATATAAGTATAATTAAAAAAATGAACATATCAAAATGTCCCTAACATACAGTCAAAAGCAAAAGTTTAAACACCCTTAATCAAATTACACACTGTTGAAGTGAAAAGAAGTTAACACATGTAGTATGTACATGTATATGTATGTATAACATTATGAGTCAGTAATGATACACCTACACAGTGAAACTATAAGGTAGATGTAATGAATCAAATGGCCAGTGTACAAAGTAAATATTTGTAATAAAGTGCATAGTGAGTGTATAGCATCTTACCTGCTTTTGATACCTGCTAAGACAAATGTCCAGAACTGTTCAGGCTCTAACTCGTAAGGATAAATATATCTGCAAGAGTTTTCACACCTATTTCGCTGACCTTGCTGAGCATTGTGTATAAGAGCAGCAGATCCTGAGCGAAGCATTCACCAAACATCTGCAGCAGATGCTGACTTCGCCTTCACCTACAACATTGCAAAACCAAGTCTACCACTTTCAAAGGTGAGTATATGAGGTGTTCTGTTAATACAGTAGCTTACTAAATGTTTGAAGTTTGAAGGTTGTGGCTATGTTCAGCTGGTCAACATTATGATTCTTGGAATGGCTATTGAAATAACTGAATGAAATATGAATGAAGTTTATGAATTCAGACTATAATGTGGCCCTCGGCTACAGTCTTTTAAATCTGTTTGCTATTCTGTCAAGTCTCTTTTAAGCAGAATAAATCAGCTGCTGCATTGTGAGGGCGTTTGTCCTGCTGAAGAGGGCTGCTAAAATGCATATATGTGCTGTTGTGAGAACATTATACAAACATTCAGCAAGAAATGCAGAAATTATTTCTCATCATTTATGCAGAAATTATTTCTCATCATTTATGCACATTTGTCATTCAGTTATTTTTACAGGTCTTTTGCAGATACAGCACTGTGTTCAACATATATACATCAACATATATACAGAAAGGCTGTAATCAATCAAAAGCACAAAATATCTGCATGATTCATTTGAAGTCATTAAAATTTAAACAAAGTTATTCTGAGTGGTTTTATGTGAAATAGTTCCTTTCATTGTAGAGAAAAATAGCAACTGGTAATAGGAACTAGGGGTCACGATGACTGAAATACTGTAACTGCTTTGAGGTGAAAAATAGTGATAAATCTGAAAAAAATAAGGTCTTTTTGGAAACTATTGGCTCACAACACCCTGCACATACCTCTCTGCCATCAATGGTTTTGTATTTATAATCATTTCATGCAATAACTTCTAGTGAAGCAGCTTTTAGAGGCATTAAATGCTTCAGATGTCTGGTTCATATCACCATCACTGCGAACAATTCCAACTCACCAAGTTTCTTTAGAACTGAGCATTTGATATATTTATTTGCATCCTAATTATTTTATTCTTCAATAGCGCCTCCAAAAAATCATTTTCTTTCTTTCTTTCAAAGTACTACAACATGAATTAAACTTACTGAGTGTTTAGTTGAGCTGATTCTCTGTTGGAGAACAAATTGGGAAAAGCTTGAATGTAACATCAAATAAACACCACAATTTAAAACATGAATGACACATGATTATTTTTTGTCCCTGTCCTTAAGAATGTTAATTTGATGTTACCATCAAGCTTTCTTCAATGTATTCCCAAATACAGGAACAGCTGTACTATGACTTTGTTTCCACAGTTTACCAACAATACACAGTTTTTGGTAACACTTTATTTGGATAGTCCGCTTTAGATGCCTTATGGATTCTTAATTTACATTAAAATATCTGCTAAATTGACCATCACTTTCTTTAACCTCGACCCAAAACCTAAACCCAACCCTCACCCTGGTCCTGCCCTAACCCTGGTCCAAATCCTAACCCAAACCCCACCACTGTTTAGAATCAACTGAATTTGAACAGATAGTTTGTTAACAGTTTGAACATCTGTAGATAATCTATATGGGACTATAGTGGATTATCCAAATAAAGAGAGACCCAGTGTTTTAATACTGGCACAAATCTGTAGGGAAAGACCTTTGAGAATTATTACTGTTTACACAAATATATAATTATTCTCTAAGTCACACATAGGGGAGAGTAGGGTAAGATGACCCAGTAGTTAAGTTGACCCATGCCCTGTGTATACGGATCTGTGCACAAGTTTTGTCTTGTGATCAGGAAGCACCCATAATTTCTTTAATTATATTTAATGTAGGACCAAATTACTTCTAATTGGGTTTTGCTTGAAAGTCAGTGGCTTAATTTCCTCCTCCTGGGGCAAGTTGAGTCACAAAGCACTTTGAGAAAACGTGTTTTCACAACCCTTTGTCATACATGCATTTTTTATAATTTCAGTTGAAATATGGATATTTGTACTTCTGTCTCGTTTCTCCTTGCTAATAGAACAACTTAAAAGGCATGTTAACTTGCACCCTACAGTGATGCTGTGGAAGTCTCTAGATTGAGATTTTCTGGTTTAAAGACTAGATAACCTCCCTTCTGATGAGGATTTTTGGGGGATTTTTTTTATCGTTATTTTTTTAAGCTGTAGAATAAAGGCAGATAGCTGGTTACTGCTAGGAAGCTGAATATCTTATTGTGGCCATATAACTACTACGGTTACAATAATACAACAAGCTAAAAGATAAAGTTGGCAAGGTAGCTGTCTGGCTATCTAGATACTTTGTCAGTTTGGCTTGTTTTCTCTTGCTGAAAGGATAAAATCTTGTCTGTTGCATTCATTTTGTGCAGAATAAGGATTGAATTATTGTATTCTTTACAAATTTTCTTTGATGACGAGGTAGGTAAGAGTTAAGAGTGAAGTAAGAGTTACATTAAATACTTGATTGTATTTATTAGCCTAGAGATCAGTGGATAGACTAGCAGTTGGCTGACACTACAGGGATTCTAAATTGTTGTATCGGGAACTGTATTGCAATGGTTAATATATTACATAATACATGCTTGGTATTGTATTGAGAAAAAGTAGATGAACAAAAACAGGAAAACGATTTTAAATCATGTATCCACTGAGGCTGAGGAGGATAAGGGGTTTTAATGTTACATAACAGAAAACTGTGTGACACATCAAAACATATATTCAACTCATTGTAGGCTGAAATGCCCTTTTAAGTATAAACTGACTAATGCCCTCTCCCCTACCCTGAGGTCAGTTCTCCAAGATTTATTGCAGAAGCTTACTGAATCCAACATTTTAATGCTGTTTTCAATCACTCTCCATTAGGGTCACACCATGTCTTCCTCTGAGCTCATCAAAGCTACGCAAAACATTACTAAGGCATCAAGTTCCAGAAATGACACCAAAATGCTAATGCAGCCTTACGCAAACTGGGAGGAGTACTTGACACCAGGTCCAATTTCCATTGCCATTTTGGGAGAGTTGGTCTTCATTTCATCAAAAGTGGACTTCTCCATCAACAAAAGTCCACCGAAAGATGGATTCAAATTCATCAGGTACCCAGAATCATTCAGAGCTTGTCTCATGCAAGTTTGCAATGCTGGATGGGGTGCTTTCAATGAGGCCCACAAGAACATGGATCAGATTCGCCTACACACAGGCAACGTTCCTGACTACATAAAGATGTGCGTGAAAATTCTTCTCCAAGATAACGACGAGCTTGTTCAAACCTTTCTCCCTGACCAGCTCCAGAATATTGACAGCATTGCAAACGACTGTCTGGAGCTGGCAACGAACACTGAGAAGAAGTTCATGGAAGTCATTATGCTGATTCAAGAGCTTCTGGAGGCTTGCCTAAATGCCAAACAAAGTTATTCTCAGGAGCTTGAGGAAGTCAGGCAAAAGCTGGAAACAGCAAAGCTTAGAGAAAAAGTGTTAGAGGAAGCCAACAAGAGGGCTGAAAAACATGTGAAGAAACTTGATGATCAACTTAAACATGCCCAGAAGTCATTTAATGAGGCAATGGACTCTTTGCCTAAAGGATGGGACATGATTGGGATGGATGTGGTTGACGGGCTGACTGGCTCAGTAACTTCCTTGCTTTCTGGTCTAACTTCTGTATGCACATTGGGCTTTATTACAGATACAATTAAAGCATTTTCACCCTCTGCTGGACCAAATACGATCTATGTTGGAGGAAGTATGGAACAGAGTGTGCAAGAATGTGACCAAATGACCGTAAACAACATATACTCCAATTCAAGCCACATTTTGTCAGTAAGCCAAAGTTTCCTCAAGTTCATTCATGAAAATCAAATCAAATGGGAAATGCTGAAAGATAAGAGCAGCGGACGCATAACTTCAGATTTCCAGAAAAAGAACTTTGAGATGGTTAAAGAGATTATCAAGAAGCAGAAGCCATGCCAGCCAGGGCAAGAGGCTTTATCAATCTGTGAAAATGGCAACTCCATCTGCACCGATTTGGCCAGGTATGCAGAGCAGGGAAAATGTGAACCAGACGAAATGAGCAATTTGGTTTCACGCATCCACAATCTGATACAGTCTGCTCAAATATTTGACTCAAAGAGTAAGGCCTCAACCAGTACCCCAGCCTTCACTGCAAAGCCTCCACAACTAAGCAGAACTCAGACCAGTGGATCTGAGAAGACGACTGCTAGCAAGGCTGCTACAGAAAATGCCCGTTTCCGTATAGAGCAGAGTCGAGCTCAATTAGATCAAGTGAGGGAAGCTTATGAGAAGCGAGTGGATGACATGGAGAAGAAGAAGCAGGAACTGAATGAGATCCTTATTTCCATGAGGAGCTGTAAAGTTCAGGAGATTGACTTTGAAACCACCATCAAGTTTCTGGTCAAGGGACTTGATGCCATGGGACGAGTGAAAGAGCAATGGGAGAAAATGGTTCGTTTTTTTCAGATGGTGTCAAATATAATCAAGACGTGTTTGGAAACCTCTCTGAAGGATTTCACCAAAACTATTCAGAAGACATCCACCTCCTCTTTGAGATACTCACCAAGTATGTTCGTCAAAGACATGATCTACTCCCAAGCATTTCATGCCTCAAACATTGCCCATTTGGTGAACATGATTTCAGGTACCTACACTGAGGTGTCCAACAAATACTTGATGGACAGAGTCAGCAGCCTTGGAAAGCTCATGGCCCTGGACCCTGAGAACCCAAACTTCACCAAAGAGCGCATGCTACTGCAAGATGCCTGCAAGGAGGCACAGGATGGTATACTGCAACTGGTTAAAAGAAACAAGCAAAACTTTGATGGGCAAACTCGAGCAAGAGTGGCGCAAATTGAAGGAGAATTGAAGGCAGTAATGCCGCCACCCTCTCCAAAGGAAACACAGAAGCTGCAGAAGATTGTTAGAGATGGATTCAAGGAAAAACAGGAGGATCTAGAGGATCAGTATGCCTAAATTTCTTGCATGACTTCAATGGCCTTTCTGCATATAAAGATAATGAGCTATGTCGGGAAATCAATAATTTTTTGGTGTTTTCATTTGTTTCTCATATTAAAGAATTTTTATTACAAAGCATAACATTGTTTTACTTCATGGTTTTTAGCTTCCCGCTGCTAATCTAGCCAAACAATCATGTTTTTGTTTTATGTCTCAGAAAAACTGAGAAAACACAATATCATTGCATTGACTGATGTTCAAAATGTGAGAAACTACAAAATAATCAAGATACAATATTGAAGACTAGCTTTTTGATATCATTCACAACTGTTTATAGTCTGTGTGTTTTGGTATGGTGTAAGAGGTTTCTTTGTTTCAGTTGGTTTAAGATTCTAAAATTCTGTTTGCAAACTTTTTATGAGTTGTAATAATTTCTTCATGCTTTAAGAAACATTTAGCTTTTGTGATGCATAATGCAAATAAAGCTACTGAAAGACATTGTATTGTACTGGTTTATTTCCTGTGATGCAAAAACATTTTTGTTATTTATTAATGAAAACTTAAACCTGACAGTCTCTAATGTGGTCATGGTTACCTACCCACCAATTAAACCCTCTGAAAAGAGCTTATTGTAGATCTTGTAGACTCATATTGTAGATATTGTAGACTCATTTTAGACAGTGTACCTTGTTGAAAGCTTATGTAGTTGACACTTGACTGGAAAAGCAACTGCCTGAACCAAAAACAGTCATATTTCATTTTTCATTTTCAACCCCTCTTTATGCCCTAGAATCAAACAAATAACATCAGGGTAAAAAGGCAAAGCTGAACTGCTGTAGGATGAATAGGCAGATATACACAATATGGCCAAAAGTATGTGAACACCCAAACTATGTTGACATCCTGTTCCAAAACTATGGGCATTAATATGGAGATGTCCTGCCCTTTTTGGCTATAACAGCCTCCACTCTTCTGGGAGGGTTTTCCATAAGATTGAAGAGTGTGATTTTGGGAATTTGTGCCCATTCAAAGTAATATTTTTGAAGTCAGGCACTGATTTTGGACAAGAAGGACTGACAGTTCATTGAGAAACAGGACTTTCGCGCTATGTGTTTTAAAAGATCAGGTATAAGCACACCACTGTTGACCAGCAAACAGGTGTTTGAAGCTATTGGTAAGAGGTCAGGACTGTGCAGGCCAGTCAAGTTCTTCCACACCAAACTCGCTCATCCATGTCTTTATGGACCTTGCTTTGTGCACTGGTGCGCAGTCATGTTGGAATAGGAAGGGGCCGTCCCCAAACTGTTCCCACAAAGTTGGGAGCATGAAATTGTCCAAAATTTCACTGGAACTAAGGGGCCGAGCCCAACTCCTGAAAAACAACCCCACACCATAATCCCCCCTCCACCAAACTTTACACTTGGCACAATGCAGTCAGACAAGAACCGTTCTCCTGGCAACTGCCAAACCCAGACTCATCCATCAGATTGCCAGACGGAGAAGCGTGATTCGTCACTCTAGAGAACACTGCTCTAGAGTCCAGCGGCGGCGCTTTACACCACTGCATTCAACGCTTTGCATTGCGCTTGGTGCTGTAAAGCTTGGATGCAGCTGCTCGGCCATGGAAACCCTTTTCCTGAAGCTCTCTATGCACTGTTCTTGAGCTAATCTGAAGGCCACATGACATTTGGAGGGCTGTAGCGATTGACTCTGCGCACTATGCGCCTCAGCATCTGTTGACCCTGCTCTGTCATTTTACGTGGCCTACCACTTTGTGGCTGAGGTGCTGTCGTTCCCAATCGCTTCCACTTTGTTATAATACCACTGACAGTTGACTGTGGAATATTTAGTAGTGTGGAAATTTCACGACTGGACTTGCACAGGTCGCGTCCTATCATGGTACCACGCTGGAATTCACTGAGCTCTTGAGAGCGACCCATTCTTTCACTAATGTTTGTAGAAGCTGTTTGCATGCCTAGATGCTTGGTTTTAAACACCTGTGGCCATGGAAGTGATTGGAACACCTTAATTCAATTATGTGGATGGGTGAGTGAATACTTCTGGCAATATAGTGTATCTTGTAGAGGTCATTTTAACACCTTAAGGGACCATAAAGGGACCTACCATCTCACTTACCAATATTCCTGCCGAAATCACTTCTCCACCTCCTTGCTGATATTGCAGTCTTGTTGGAACAAGGAGGCCATTCACCAACCATCAAGAACTCCATCCATCTAGTATAGTGAATAAAACTGTTTGAAAATTAGTCTTCCTTGCAAACATTTCTCTTTGTGAGCTTCGCTTAGGGGTGGCCAAGATACAGCTTTATGCACAGTTGCAGGCCTGTGGAGGATTCTGCATCGAGAGGTTCTTCATACTCCAGAGACACCAATAGCTGCAAACACCTGTTTGCTGGTCAACAGTGGTGTGCTTATACCTGATCTTTTAAAACAGTTCATCTGTCTGACCTGAAACTTTCATTAATAAGTCTTTATCTGTCTGTATTCACCTGTGCTCTGAATTTCTCACATCTCTTTTCACACTCCGATCTCTCTTCAGTTTTCATGAAATGTCATGCCTTTTGCAAAGACTTCTCTTTAAGTTTCCCTTTAATCAAGATCACCGGGCAAACTAATTAACAAACCTGTCTGAGATTGATACCAGATATCTAAAAAGAGAAATAAAACAAAGAAACACTTTGGAAAAAACTAAAACCTAAATGCTCAATATACTGAAATCCTTCTGATATATCACTTGTATAATGGTTTAGAGCACAGTGTATAGTGTTGGTACTATGTATTCTGGTAGGTAGCGTTCTCCTGGCATCCGCCAAGCCTAGATTCATCCATCTGACTGCCAGATAGCACAGCGCGTTTCATCACTCCAGAGTCCAGTAGAAGTGTGCTTTACACCACTCCAGTTGACGCTTGCACATAGTGATCTTACGCTTGTGTGCAGCTGCTCGGCCAGGGAACCCCATTTAGTTTTGTAACTGAGCTTTTTATGGCTTCATTTCCAAATACAGTCTGTTTGGACTGGAAAGTGAGCCATATTTTGAAACTTTGAACAATATTTTTATACTACATCAAACAAGCAAGGAAAAGTCAGTTTTCCATGACATGGGCTCTTTAAATGATTTTAACTAAACAAAAATAAAACAAATTACTGAAAATGAAATGACAGTTTTCATGCACTTCTTTAATATATCAGTTTTTCATATTCACAACAAATACATTAAGCTCTTTCTTCTTTTATATTATACAATCTTAAATATTTTTACACAGAATTTTTTTTTCAGAATTTCATCTATCAAAATGTCTTTTCTTAACCTTTATTTCTTCATTGGAAACATTTTTTAACTCCATGCCTCCTAGCAAACGGACAGTATTTCCTTTGTACAGCTATTTACAGGTGAAAAGAGTCTCCCAAAAGCTTTTATGATAGTTCTCAGTTGAATTAACTTATACTAGGGGTTTAAGGTGCAGGCAAGGCAAAGGAACAAAGGTGGCTAGAAGGGGGGCAGGGAAGAGGAGGGACACGAAGGGGACACAAAACGACAAAACTAAAATATCTGAAAAGAAGTGAAGAGGAAAAGGGCTTTTAGAAGACCAAAAAAAGGGAAAAAAGGAACTGTCCCCAAGTGTTCCACAGTCAAGTGAGCAATCCTTCGAAAGATAAACCTCTTTAGTAACATTCTCATATAAAATAAGAAAATCTTGAAAATAAATACAGCACTCTTAAAATCTCGCCTCCGTTATTTCCTTACGTCCCGCTTTAGGTCTGCCAACTGAAAGGAGGGTTGAAAGAGTCCTCAGCATGAGAGCAAGAACTGGTCCATTTAAACATCTCCAAAGCTTGAGGAGACTGAACGCTGTCACATCCAACAGGGCTCCTTCGACAGACTCGTGCACTTCCTTGTGTACACTTTATGGTTAATCATGAATTCACATTGTGTCATCACTGATATTGGGAGAAAAAAAATGAAAACAATTCCATCCTTCAAAAAAAGAAGCAACTGGATATAAGTTCTTGCCTATGTAGTAGAGTGTAATTGACAGATTCTTTGAGAAGCCTCTAATCGATCAGTCTAATGAGCAATTTGTGGATCTGATCGCTGAAAGATACAGAGAAGTGTGCAGTGTCGAACATAATAGAGAGCAAACTGGTAACAAGCAGGCAGATCTGCAACCTGCAATCTGTTCAAATGTGTCATCTGAAATATCCAACAAGCGTCAACACAGTGTCAGAAATCGCATTCATTTTTAAAAATGGTGTGGTCTGTTTCTTTTTCCCCCCTAAAGCTCTGGCTGTATCTCCTAATGTGTAATGGCATTTTAATCCCATTGTGATACTGAGAATATTTAGTCATGCTTAGAAACACTGACAAAAATGTTTTTGTCCATTGAAAGGCAAATTGCTTGTTTTGCATCAATGTTTTACAAAAGTGCAAAGGACACAGCTTAACATCCATTTAAGCAATCACAGAAAACAAGTAGCTTACAAAAAAAAAACAAAAAAAAAGAAAACCTCTCCAAGAACAAAAAAAGAACCTCTCCTAGAGGTGAGGGAGAAAAATGGAATAAAATTAAAGCTACATAAATAAATCTATTCTGCAGGCCTGCCTGTCCATGAAAAGACACAAAAACATAAAAAACTCAACAAATACACTGGAATGGATGCCCAAAGGGGGCAAATGGTATGACACTTGACGCATCAACCCTTACACATATGGTCCTTAAGAATGTCTCCATTCTGTCGGAAGTCAAAGCTGGGAACAAAGGACATAGCATTAGTTTCACTCGGCCACCTCACAGCGAGAGTGGCAGCAGCATTAATCTGCTAAAAGATACTCTGCTAATATAAAGTAAATAATGGATGTAGAATTGAATATATGGGTACATGGGTATCTCTGGTAGGTTCCAGAATGGAACAGCTAATCTATGATGAGCTCTCCATCCTTATGAAGCTATGTTTAATATGACAAAGCATGAACTGATCCTACATCACTTTCAGCCTCACAGTAAGCCCCCTCAGGTCACTACAATAAAATGGCTAATTTTATTAATGGATCTGACTTGTGTTTGTGAGGCCATAATAAAGCCCATGAGCTTCTTCATATAGCTCACCACATTTATAAATACAACAAAAAGATTCCCTGGGGTGGGATGTAGTTATACTGAATATCACAGTCACCATCCAGTAGAATGGAGCATATTTGTTTGGGCAATATTGGATATCTGCAAAACAAACATTCCCCTACCGTTCCTCTGTAAACAAAGCCAAATAAGCGAAGTCAATCCAACTGATACTTTACCCGTCTCCACAAAGGAATGTAATTGATCTGGCACCATATTACTGCAAAAGCAAAGAAAACTGTGGGATAAAGTAAACAAGAAAATCAAAAAAAAACAAAACAAAAGAAAAAAAAAGAATAAAAACAAAAAGGGACAAAAACATTATCAGCAGCTCTGGCCTTAGGCAACATCAAAACGTAACAAACTCAGTACAAGAAAAAGAACCGTTTCTAACGTCATTCAAGTCATCTCCCGACATCCTCTCCGAGATCGGTTGAGATCCAACCTCATTCCCTTATGATATCCAAAGAGAAACCGCCAACAAGGACACGCTATCGCTCGCTCTATTCTCTACTACAGAATCATGCCGTTGGTCAATGTATAAATCCTGTGCTCCTTTTGGTCAGCACTGCATGCTGACCCCAGCAGGAAAACAGAAAGGCAAGACAATCTTAAGCACCGTTCATTGGTCCTTTCTGTCCGCATGGCTCCAAAAGTCAGCTGTCCTTTTTTTTCTCCTCAAGGCGAGACTTCTGACGCTTCATCCTGACGTCCTGCATTTGTCCTCCTCTTTCGTCCGGTGGCCACCTTTAAGGTTTCGCAACTTCAGTGTCAATTTTATTTTATGCGCATCATTTCAAGTTTTCTTGTTTTCAGGTTATGATAATTTTTTCCTTAAAATCAGCGATGGTTCCCAGCTGAGTTTTTTTTTTTCCCCCCCATTTTAATTTTTTTTTTTGTTTTCATTATTTTTTTAGCGATTCCATTAACACCGTTGTTCTTCAGGTAAAGAGGAAGAAAAACAGCACATTCTTTGAAACTAGGTGTTTTTTTCTGTTTTATGGATGAACCCACTGTAGGAACACAAGACATCTTAAAAAGTGACGAGGGATGGACTTTTCAGTTGGTGGCACTACTTAAATGCTGAGAATTCTCCTACAGGGTAGAGAGAGAGAGACACAGAGAGAGAGAGGTGTTTAGCACTTTTATGTTTGAAAAGGTATCTATATCAGTATATTCTAAAATAAATGTATGTGTGTTACCGTAGCCTCCAGCCTGAATGGGTGTTTTCGGAGAGGCGCAGGCGTACAGACTGAAGTCTTCCGTCTGGAAGCCAGCACGGTTGAGGGATGGTTCAGAGGCGCTGCGGTGAATCTTGGGTAGGGAGCGCGCCAAAAGCTCAATGGAGGCCAGGATCTGAGACGAAGAACAAGAGCTATAAGTTAGATCAAGAACCTATTCCTAAAGATGACATAATACCATCTTTTCTTTTTCCAATATCAATGACATTTTCCAATTTAATGATATTAAAACATTGAGTGAAGGTTTTCTCTTAAGACTAGTAAACTTTAGTAAGAACTATTTTTAACTGAAGCACTTCACTTAAGATGAAGAACACATAGGCTATGATGCTCTACTACCCCACAGAAAGAAATGCATAGTGAACACAGGACAATTTGAGTGTGCTATTATAGCTTACATATCGCTTCTGTCGGAAGAAAACCTCTTCCAAAATGATAAATTTACAGGAGAAGGAAAAAACACACTTTACTTTTAATGTACGTCAATGGAACCAGACTTTTTTCCAAGTAATTCTGGGTCGTTTCTTTTAGTCCATTAAATTATGAAATTTACATACAATGTAAAATAAAATTATGTATTTTCAAATTATGTGAAAAACTGGAAAACGTCAAAAATGGTGATACAAGGTTTTCTTACGACAACAGGAATATGTTATGGATTAATCCCCCCCACCTCAATTTCCTGGTATCCGAACATCACCCATTTTCAATATCAAAAAGAAATATTTTGTGGACTATTTGTTCATAGTCTATAGGTTCTTTTCTTAGTAAGGGCTTCTGGACAACTACATACCCTTTCAGACCCACATTTTTGGGTTGTCTTTTTACAGTGGAAGAATGTACAACAACACCTGGAGATTTTTTCAGATCTGAAGCACTGAATTCATAAATACAAGTATCAATTTAGGAAACACATTCAGTGGTAAAGGCACTTAAGTAATTTAACCTACAACAATGGGGTGACAGGAAATGTGCAACAGAACTGCTTTGAGTACATGGAGCAGCATGGTAAAGCCATTAGATAAACTCTGGTGCCATCTTGTGGTGATATCACCAAGAGCACATATTGGGATGAATAAGTTAGTGTTCTCAGTTCTCAGAGCACTGCCTTTTTAATACTTCCCCTGCTCCAGAATATCTAATTCAACTTCATATAATTATTAATATACAACCCCATTTCCAAAAACGCTGTGCAAAATGTAAACAAAAAACAGAATGCCATGATGTGCAAATCATTTAAACCTATATTTAACTAAAAATAGTACAAAGACAACATATAAAACAGTGAAACTTGAGAAATTTTATTATACTTCCCCACTCTATTGTTCTCCACTCTGTAAAAGACTTCATGGGAAAACGGTGCAACAATTCAAGAATAACGTGTAATCGCAAAGAACTTAAGGATTTCATCATCTACAGTACATAATATCATTAAAAGATTCAGAGAATCCAGAGAAATCTCTGTATGCAAGGGACAAGGCTGAAAACTGATATTGGCTAGCCATGATCGTTGGGCCCTCAGGCAGCACTGCATTAAAAACAGACATGATTCAGCAGTGGAAGTCACTGCATGGGCTCAGACACACTTCTGAAAACCACTGTCTGTGAAAACACTCCCGCCTTCTCAAAGCTCATTTAAGATGGACTGACACTAAGTGGAAAAGTGTCCTGTGGTCTGACAAATCAAAATATTAAATTCTTTTTGGAAATTATGAAAACTGTGTCCTCCAGGCTAAAGAGGAGAGGGACCATCTGGCTTGTTATCAGCACACAGTTCAAAAGCCAGCATCCCTGATGGTATAGGGATGCATCAGTGTACATGAAATGGGTGACATGCACTATTAATGCTGAACAATACATACAAGTTTTGGCAACATACGCTGCCATCCAGATGACCTCTTTTTCAGGGAAGGCCTTGATTATTTCAGCAAGACAACATTTGAACCACATTCTGCACATATTACAACAGCATGGCTCTGTAGTAAAAAAGAGTCCAGGTGCTAAACTGGCCTGCCTGCAGTCACCCATCGAAAACATTCTACGCATTGTGAAATTAAAAATATGACAGAGACCCCAAACTGCTAAGCAGCTGAAAATCTCTATCAAGCAAGAACAGGAAAACATTTTACTTTAAAACTACAGCAATTGATCTCCTCAGTTCCCAAACCTCACAGTGTGTTGTTAAAAGAAGAGGTGATGCAACACAGTGGTAAACGTTCCCCTGTCCCAACTTTTTTAAATATGTTGCTGGCATCAAATTAAAAATGGGCATATATTTTTAAAAAAACTTTCTTATTTCTCACAACATTTCTCAGTTTCAACACGTGATATGTTGTCTTTATACTACTGTCAATTACAAACAGGGTTTAAATGATTTGCATATCATTGCATTCTGTTTTTATTTATATTTTGCACAGCACCCTTTAACTTTTTTGGTAACAGGGTTGTAATATTTTCATTTATGCAAGCTTTATATTTAGTTGAAGAACTGAATCTGGCATGTTGGAGCAGAGGAAACACTAACCTGTTCAGAGCTACAGTTATCCTTAACTAGGCTTGGAAAAGAATTACTAAAAAAAGAACTACAAGCCTGTTCAGCATCGCATCTTATCTGACTTCACAAATTAAGTGGAAAGAAACAATAGCATACATCTAACAACTGTCCGTCTGGTTACCTGAGGGAAAAGGGGTCGCTCCTCTCTTTTCTTCTTTAAGCAGTCAGCCATGAGTCTCTTCATGGCTTTGGGGCAGTTGCTGCGCACCTTGCTCAGGTCAGGAGAAAGATAACCCCGGCCGACCATGAAGATGATCTACAGTAGGAAGAAGACATTGCAACAGCCTCTTTCAGTGGTGAGTTAATTTCTTAATATTTGCTGAGTAACATATTGGAAAAAATAAAACATAAAATATGAAACCAACTCAACTTGTTAAGTCATCTCAAACAGACTTACTTCTGTGCTTTCTGACACAACGACAGACTATTCTCTATAAGATAACCCAGCACATCCAATTCACATTTTGCTTTTTGCAGCATATCATGAAATATAATGACTGTGGAAAATGATTGCAGCTTAATTTTAAGTCAGCTTAAATAACTGCAATCATCTCCAATAATTGTAACTGGTCCATTATGTAGAAAATCTGACAGTATTGTGTAATTAGTTGTAGCGTATTACTCAGCTAGCTTTCTTGTTAGTATGCTAAATATTACATGACCAACAACAACAACAACAACACACAGCTCTACACCACTAGAAAATTTATAACTAGACAAAGCAATCATTCATAAAATGTTATGTTGGTTATGTTCAGAACTCTCAAAAAAACAAAAAAACAAAACAAAACAAAAGTACATGACTAGATGATTAGCTCACTGCGGCTAACCTAATTAAGGGTGAGTGCATTCCAATTAAAAAAATCTGTTCCTCACTCTCCACACTTAGGTGTGATGCACATCTGAGTGGTGAGTCGAAGTGGGCGAGGGCATGTTTAAAACAGTATTGAAAGGGGGCCCAAGGTTACACACACATCTTCCAGAGGACTCTCACCTGGTCTCTGTTGTTGATGTTGGAGTAAGGCAAAGCCCCCGACATGAGCTCATACAGCACAATGCCAAAGGCGTAGACGTCTGACTGGAAGCTGTATGGGTTCTTATCCTGCAGCCGGATTACCTCAGGAGCCTGCAAAAGAGCACATATACGCTAACTTAACAAGACATCACCCTATTACTCAAGCCTCATGGTACAGTACAGACAAGCCGCATCCCATTGATTAGCCTTTCAGATTAACAACCAACACAGTCAGTAAATTTGTAAAAGTGGAATAAAACTAAACGTGTCTTCGTTTCCAATGAGTGAGACCAATGTCAAGAGAAAAACAGCCAGTCATTCTATAACTTCAGGAAGTCCTAGATACATAACTAACTTAATAGGAGTGGCAGAATAACCAGGTTTCAGTCAAATGTTAGAAACCGAAAACAGTGTTGGCAGCTTTTTGCCAGGACTCTTTACTGAAAGAGTCACTGTAACACTTCTACATACAAAATATATGTTAATGTCTGTTACAAGCTTCAAATAAAACATTGTGTCTTTTACCTGCCCCAAATGTCCATGCTTAATCTAGAATGGCTAATCTAGAATGGCTAAAAATTCTTCTTATACACCACCATTAGTTTGCACTAACATACTACTAGAAATCCCATAAGAACAAACATAGAAATTAGAATTATTGCTAACTGCTTATTATTCTAGAAATGTTTGGGTTTTTTCTCATTGTATGACATCTGACATTTATGGCCTAAACTGAAGGCCTTAGCTCCAACATTCATGATTCAGCAGACTGCATATAATATTTTATTCTACAGCTTTCATTTAAATTTCGAGTAGATGTATCACAATAAGCATGCAGCAATTTAATTACCATCCACAGGATCGAGCCAGAGAGCTGCTCAAACTGGTGCGATCCACTCCAGCGGGACTTCACCGTAGCGAGACCGAAATCACCAATCTTTACTGTCAGGTCCTCATGCAAGAAGATATCTTTAGAGAGGTTTTGTCAAGGTTTGTTTATCCAAATCTTACAACACATTATTTTCTGTCCTAATCATACTGTTTTATGATTAAATTATTAAGCATCATTATTATGGACACCATGCTCATGAAAATCATTTTTCACTTGATCCATTTCATTAAGTGAGAACAAGTGAGGGAACCACTGGCCCAGCGTGCAGAAAGGATACTGTTGCTCTTCAGGTCTCGGTGTATGATAGACTTGGCATGCAGATAGCTGCATTAAAAAAAGAAATTGAAAACGAAAATGAAGTTATAAGCAGTCATTCTAAGAATTCTGATATTAGCAGCTATTCTAAGAATACATCCACAGTGAATCAGGGTACAGTGTTTATCATTCACAAATTCACAAATTCCTAAATTTGGGACAGTAGTACTGAAAATAACTGGCCTGCTTGGGCAAGCTGATGTTCAGACATAGGGTGTATTTGACTATGAACACCATTTGTAATACTGCCAAAATTTCCAGTAGTGTGTGGAGTTAAATCTAGTCAATTGTCATTTGTACTGGAGATGTTTTACACAGTTTGTAGGTCTTAAGACAGGCAAAACGGAATTATTCTTTTCTGATTTCGTTTTTGCACCTGAAGGTAAATATATGACAATATTATTATTACTATTATTATTACTATTATTATCATTATTAACAACAACAACAACAACAACAACTTTCATTCATTCCTACTGAACTAACCAGGCAAGTTGGGGGAAACGTTACCATTAAAACCTGGGCTAGACATTAGCATTTGGCATCTCAAAAAAAAAAAAAATATCCCCCTCCATGAACTCACTCCATGCCCTGGGCTGTCTGGCGGGCGATGTCGATCAGTTTGATCATCTCAAACTTTGTCTCAATAATGTGCAGGTGGTGGTAGAGGCTGGAGCCTTCGCACCACTGTGTGACGATAGCCAGCTGGGGCTTGGTGGTGTAACCCATGAAGAGCAGGATATTGACGTGCCGGGTTTTCCTGAGAGAGAGAGAGAGAGAGAGAGAGAGAGAGAGAGAGAGAGAGAGAGAGAGAGAGAGAAGAGAAATAAGAGATACTCATAAAAAGGGAACAACTGTGCAGATAAAGTGGTACAGATAAATACCAAACTGCTCTTTGAGGTAAAATTCACATATGACAGCAAAGAATCTTCCTGAAAAGGTGATCTGTGAGCCATTCAGCATCTGGTCTTAAATGTATATGGTGATGTGTATCACTTTAACATATCTTGAAGCTAGGCTGTCACAATTACAATTATAATAACCTGATGATAATCATTTGAACTGATTTGCCATATAATTTCATGCAATGGACAAAACTAAACTGCATATATGGTAATTAATCATAAGCTAAGATTTTGTGACAGGCCCATCTGATGCCTTAATAATATAATTTTTATAGACATGTTTACCCATTTTTCACAGAAACTATATAAGTAAGCCAATTTGAGATTTCTTAACAAAGGTTTGTTTGCCTGCTATATTAGCTTAGTAGCTCCAGTGCTAAAGAAGCAAACTTGAGATGCCAATGTCTTAGCTGACTGATTACACCTAGGGTAAAAAGAAGGGTAAGAATTGTATAAATTTACACAAAGAACTTTTACTTTTGATTTTACACTGAACTATCCATTTAAAATGCTTTTAGAATTGTTTTGGTAACAAATGATCATAATGACTATTGAAGAAAGTCCTTTAAATGCCCCATATAAAGTTAAGTGATTAAAAACACTTTATTTCAGGAATGGGTCTCTCATTCCTACACTACAGACCCAACATACATATTAGCTGTGTGAGAGTTAAATCTGTTCAGTAACTCACATAAATTGGCATGAGGTCTTAAAATGAGAGCACATTCTGCCTTACCTGAGAACCCCAACTTCATTCTTGAAGGCCTGTAGTTGTTGAGGAGTAGGGGCAGTGACATTCAACATCTTTACTGCCACATCGCCTGTGAAGACAAAGTGCATGAGCTGACCACAAGTTTGAATATCAAACTATAGCTCTGGGAGGTATATCTGAGGGATTTGCATTGTTGTGCGCCATGCACACAAGCATCAACAGACAGGGTCAGATGGGGGCTACCCCAGTCTGCTAGTCTATCCCAGCAGTAGTTATGATGTGGAAAGCCTCAATTATGCTGTGTTAGCAAGATTCACTGCTCCAATGAAATTAACTCAGGCCTCCCTTTTAGAGAGACAAGAGTATTTATTTATAAGCAAGCATCACCTACCTGAACGAGTCAATAACTCAGTCCAAATTATTGTGTAGATCCACTGTCATATCTGATGTGATTTACATCATATGCAATTTCTCTTTTGCAAGGATGCATCCAACACTGCCTCAAACACTTCTAGTAACACGTTAGGAAAGGGAGAAGAATCAAGCTGCAGATTCTACCCACTGATTTCCACTGTAGATTTCCATCAGACCTAGTAGTGTTTGTGGATATATAAACACATCTTACATATCGTCACTGTTGGAAAAGGGTAACTTCACAGGAGGAAAAGAAAACATTCTTAACTTTCTAAGTAAATTATTGTAGATTTGATTCCAATTTTGGACCATTTGTATTGGTCCTTTCATCACTCAATTTTCATACAATAGAAAAGGGCAGCTGGTATTTTTCAAATTATGTCAGAAAATGAAAACAATATGAAGCTACACGGTGTTATTCCATCAGCAACAATATATAAGTATGTCAGGAATTCAGACATTTTTAGATACATACCGTGCCATTTCCCCTTGTAGACAGTTCCAAAAGAGCCAGATCCTATCCGCTGGCCCAAAGTGATCTGACCTTCAGGAATCTCCCAGTCATCACTGGAGTCCCGTCGGCCCAGTGTTTTCTACAGGAGAACAGCAAACACTGTACCTTAATTCTATGGGACAGATTTTATTTAATGAAATTTAATGAAATTTTCTAAAGGATAAATTCTATTTCATAAACTGCTAAAAGTTTATCTTCTGTTGGCAATTTTTCCAGCAATACCAAATACATGTATTGTGTCGTTCCATTGCCTGCACAACCGCAACTTGTAAAAAAAACATGAGTTAATTAAGCTAACTTAAAAGTAACCAGCCAAAATCAATTTGGCCCTAGTACAGACCTAAGAAGGATGACGTGTACAGTCATAGCAGAAGAACAAAAGCCCCTTACCATTTTATTGCGGTCCTCAGATGAGGACGAAGACTTGCGCTCCCGTTGTTGGCATGGCGACTTCTGCGGAATCTTCACATTGGTAAGGGAACCTGGCAAGGAGGCAGGGGGCGTGGCCGACAGTCCAGTAGTGGAGCCTAAAGTTTTTTTTTTTGGTATTTGGTTTTTGGGGGAGTTTAGGGGAGGAAAAAGAACAACAGGTCACGTTAAGGAGAAACAATAAAAAGAGAAGCAGAGAGAAAAGCAGAAAATTGTGGGTAAAGTCAGTGCAGAAAGAGTCACATCACATAGCCCTGGGAAAGTGAGCAGTGGATGTAACATAATGATTCCAAACCAAATTCTGCCAGTTTTCGAAAGGCCTATCCAGCAGAACTATGAAAAATCTGGCTGTGTGTAAGCGTTATGTGGCAAAATCAATCCACATCAAATACTGTATTACTCATTATCTCTAAGTACCTCATGATCCGATTCAATTCAGTGTGTCAAGATGAGATTATAAAATGATTCTTAAAGCATCTCGTTGCTCCATTTTTGATTTCTACTAATTTGAATGTAGCTTAAACCCTATGCACTTGTTTTTTTTTCACCATCTAATGAAACTACATTTTTATTAGACCTTTGCGTTCTTTGTGCCACATACTGCATTTAGCTCATGGTGTTTATTTTTCAGCAGGAATGTTTCGTCAGTAAGATTAACTGATTAACTGAAAATTTTAACAAAAAACCATGTTAGATAATACCATGCGGATTAATACTTCTTGAAAAATGTTTCACCTATTGTTTTGAAAGTTGTTAGTGCAAATGTGCATTTGTGAGTTCCTGCTGGTGTGGGTTCATGACTGTTTCTTCTCTTGCATGCAAACTGTGTGCTAATAGCGCCCCCTTATGGAGAAACTTTAGACTGCTAAGGTAAACATGAAAAGTGAGGTGTTTTCTGTTGTTGTAACTGAGGTGCTCCGGAGTTCAGCTATAGATGCCTGCTGGAATTGAAGCACTATGTTTGTTCATTATATTATATTGTTAGCTGTTCAGAAATCTCCTGAGCTGGTAGTTAAACAAAAAAAGTGTTCATATATAAAGGTACGTTTACTATGGTTTCAGGCCTTTTAATTTATGTACATGAAAACTGTGACCAATTTCTGACTGTAAACCTTTTCTTTCCACCTTTCCGTCAACATATCCTACCTTATAAAGTCTACAGGCCCATGTGACATTATTCCACAATAGGAGAAATGCAGAGCCTATGTAAAAATCGGATTACGGCGTTTTATGAGTCGATTCAGAATATTTAAAGGGAGAATCGCAATAACATTTATTTAATAAATAAATTATAAACCAGGCCATTCAGAACTGCAAGATGGGCCATAGAGATGGGGCTGGAATGTGATTTGGAATCAGTGACATTTTGCTGTGGCATACATGTGCCCCATGTATTTTTGTATGTGCGCTATTACAAATCCACATGGGCCAAGGTCAAGATTTTGATCATAGGTTTGATCATAGCTCAAGGGATGTGTCTACAGCCTTTAAAAAGGCAGTGCACGTCATGTGAGGGTGAGAGAAAAGGCCAAGCTTGAGTAAAACAGGTGAAAAACCAGTGACCAGGGTGGGGGCACGTCTGCAGACAGACAAACGGACAGACAGACACAGATGGGGTGAGAAGCACAGCAATGCAAAAAGGCCTAACTACCTCGGAACACAGGCTCAGGCTCAAAATCAAACACAATGTCATTGGGGTAGGAGTATGGGAGGGGAGCAGAGGTCCGTGTTCTGTGCTTCCTCAAGCAGCGGGCTAGGAGGGGCGGGGGGGCTGCAGGGGGAAGAGAGACACACATACGATCACTGGCCCCAAAGCCCAGGTACGATCTCTCGTACCATCTTATGTCTACCCCCAGTGGGTACACAGAACATTTTGGGAGGGGGGGGGCAGATTTGCACCAATTACAACAGTGATGGTAGGGACAGGCTGTTGATGGCTACAGCAAAGGCCACCCAGCACAGACAGCAGAAGGTCCAGATTTTTATCAGCTTTACTGCAGGAGGAAAATGTATAGCCATATCATATAGTATGGCCTAACCTGACCTTTCTAAGGCCAATGACACAGAGACAGCACACAGACATGGGATGAGCGGAGGCTACTCAGTCTGTGTTACGGTCGGGGTATATGTTTGTGTTTATACAGGTGGGGAACTCTTACCTCCATCAGACCTCTGTAAACCTTGGTCACGAATCAAGTCCTGAAAGAGGAAGAGAATGACACTCATTATCAGAACTACATAAAACGCAATGTTGATGATCAATAACTGAGAAATAGACATTTAACAAAATATACTCTTTGTTCTATCCAGTAGTTCTCAAACCAGTACTTAAAGACCCCTAGACAGTACACATGTTTGCTCTATGCCTGTGTTGTGAACTACACTGGAGCAAATATCTGGATCAGCCGTGTGGCCTCTAAGGACCAGTTTGGAACCACTAGTTTAATCACTCACATCAATGTTGACTGGCTCAATTGTGTTGATATGGACGTTGGGAGCTGAGGAAGACCGGTCTCTCTGGCCAAACTGGTTACGGTGGTCTTCCTCTCCTGGCCGGAAACTCTGTGGGATGGGGATAGATTTGGACGGGGACACACTCGGATGGCACAGTGACCTGGAATAACAAAGGTATTTGTTCTTGTGATCTTTTTTTAGATTCCATAAAACAGCTATTAATAAACAGTATTATCACAAAAAAAGTAACAGCACCCCCCTTCCCTCAAGTATCGTATAATTAGTGGGGAGCGGGAGTGGATTATAACACTCTCCAACAGTGAGTGTATATCGATTACATTTCAATTCTACACTGAAGTGCAACAGGAAGACACAGAACACAAATATAAACAGATATTTTAGCTATGCATAGAGCACAAACCCATGAATACTTCCACGCAATAACTACTTTAAAATAATTTACAATAATCAATTTCAAATAAAATGCAAAATTTTATTTTATTTGAATTTTTTGCTTATTAATTTTATTGCTGTTCAGACCAAATAGACAGACTTACCCTGTGGAGTCAGATGGTGGGATGGACGGACACATCTCCGACACAGGGGTGGTACCCTCTGATGACACCTCCTCCTGGGTAATGGGGTGGTGCACCAAAAACTTAGATGCCAGTAATAAACTGCAGAGAAAGAAAAATAAAACATAAATGGTGAAAAATAGTGTGGAATAGTAAGTTTATACTGCTCTAATTTGGCTTCCACTACACGTACCAGCCATTCAATGTTCCTAATGAACAGGTTCATGCGTGTTGGGAGCTGATATGAACAATGATTTTGACACTTAAAAAAAGACCTTAAAACCTTAAAACTCACTTATAACTGAAGCCATTGGGCAGTTGCACTATTCCATGAATAAAAGTGACTGATACAGGTCAAAGGATGAGAGATATAACAGAATGTAAGAACTTATTTGTTTGTCTGTATTTTTTAAAACTGTTCCAGTTTCATCACATCTCTACTGCTATACATTTAGGGCAACCTCCGCAAACAAAGTCTGCTTTAGCCATAAGTTATATTCCACGCAGCTGCTCTAGATGAAGATGAAGGTCAAGACAAATGACGGAATAGACAGCGCTATGATACTGTGGACTAACATGCATGGGAGGTCTGCATGTCTGCAAGTCCAGGGAAGACCAAAGTTTCAGATTGGGAGTAGTATGACAAGCCTCTGTCTCTTATCTACATCTCCCATAAGCACTTACTCCAGCTGGTCGTAGTTGACGCACATGAGTGGGACCTCAGTGCTGCAGCGCTGATGGAACTTATAGCCACACGTCTGGCAGCGGAAACCCTGGAACAGCAGTTTCCGGCAGAAATCACAGAAGGCCAATGTGAAGAACGTCTTCCTCACCTGGTAACAGCAGCCATGACAAAAGACAATATCAAGTAATAGCTAAGCACCCCATGCTAAAATTAGTTTGTGTTGGGCTTGGTAAGCCACTACAAAGAACAAAAAAATCTTAAGAGAAATGTATTAGTATTTACTGAAGCAAATATATAAAGCTACATTTTTTCTATATGCTAATGCTATATTTTTAGTACTAACATAATAATAATAAAAGTTTAGAAAATATACTACTACTACTACTACTACTACTAATAATAATAATAATAATAATAGTTTGTAAAAAGATGGAAAAAGATCCATTATGTCACATGGCCAAAAATCAGACAGTTTGGAAACATTCTTTCAGCAACATGCTGTCTTTACCTTAAATAAGGACAATAGCCAACTTCTGTTCTACCCAAAAAAACCTTTGGGTGAATATATGGAACTTAAGTATTGCTTCATGTTGAATAACACAAAATAAACATTGTCATTGTCATGGTGACCTGAATGTTTGACCCACAGCCTACTAGGAAAGTTGACCTTTTCCCAGTAGAACTTCCCCAATATGGGCAGGCTGGAGGTCAGCCGGACACCCAAAACCCAGACCGTTACAATCAATCAATCAATCAAAAATAATAATAATAATAATAATAATAATAATAATAATAACCATAACCAAAAGAAATGCATTCCTAGCCAGGGACACAGGAAGTTGTAAGGACGGTTTAACTGTGACAAAAAGAGTTAAATTAACTTTAAAATAATTTGAGTGTACTAAAGAACTGTATGTCTTGTAGGGTGGAGTTTGTACTGTTTAAATCAACAGTGAATTTTTATTACAATGAGCCGTGCCACATATCAACAATCCGACTGGCTGTCACTCAGCTCATTTGCACAACGTTCAACCAGCAGAAGAGAGAGCAGAGGGAGCAGGGTGCAGCAGTCTTGAGTATATAGTTATTTTCACCAGATTATAGTATATTATGAGGCACAATATTTAAGTAAAATTTAGGCATCCCCAAACAAAAGACCTTCCCACATCACTCCCTCTAGCATTACCAATAAATAGACAAACATTCTGAATGATTATCTTTGTTTCCCACCCTTCAGTATGCTCACATTCTTTCAACATAATATTCCAACAGCTCCATGTCATACTCACAAAATTGTGGGTTGTCAGGGGCACATTCTCTAAAACCTCCACATGGAGTTCCTCTCCCGTCAACCAGGAAATGTCTGTGTCCCAGCCAATGGGCTTCTTCTCCCTGGTGAGGGAAGAGGGAGGTTACGAGCTGGAATTCAGAATGGTTTAATATGAAATGCTTCATTCTTCATTCATTTTAGAGAAACTTTCAGAGTCAGAATTGTCCACAGCGGTGGTGATGGGAACCAGACGTCTAATAAGTTTAACGTGTCTAAAAGCTCCCTTACAGAACGTTTTTACATGAAAAGATTATGAATACACTGTCTGAGTCCTGATGCATTGTTTTACAATAGTTCTGAGAGAAACTTTTGGCCTAAACATTTTGGGACAACTGGAGAAAACGTACACAGACAGCGTTATAAGACAAAGTAACACCCAAAGAAGATTCAGATTTACCTAAGGCTGAATGATTGGTTTTATATCAAAATCAAAATCATGCGATTTTCAAATTGCAATAGTGGCAATTTTAATAATATCCTACATTATTCAAGATTCTCTTACCAAGTTTTGATTGCAGAAATTCAACTTTGTGAATTGGCAGTCTGGTACACTACATTCAGTATCACAAGCCTGAGTAGGTCAAATACCAGCTACTAGGTTTTCTCATCAGTCCACTTAATGCTGTGCAATGTTGACAGAAACTGCAGATATGTACTAAATTGCCCTGAACCACTCCACCTCCAAAGTTTTACAGAGTGTTTGTTTCTGGAGGGCACTCTGATGGCTTCACAGGCATCTATGCCTTCAGGTATCCCCTGGGAACAGGCAACAAGTACTGCTAGTTAGGAACTACTGCCCCAAGACACTAAACAGTGCATTATTTGCATTGGCAAATGCACAAAAATATGTGATAACGTGTGAAATGACACTACGTGCTATTACCCATCCTGAATCCTGTAGACAGCACAGCATTCTGGTATCAGACCTCGCATCATCAGAGCCTTCTTCAAGGAGTCCCTTACGGTCATCCCGCAACGTGCCGGGACCTGAGACACGCGCAAAACAAATGTGAGGTCACCATTAGTGTGCTTTGCTCACCACAGATACTCATCAAGCTTTTATGTACGCCAAGTCTTGCATTTTCAGCAGCCTTGTTCTAAGCCAACACAGTCAGGCTGAGAATCTCATCAACGTAAAAGGGGTCACCTACATTTGCTCACTTACTGTGGACTCAAACTGCACTACAACTAGTAGTTCAAAAGAATCCACAAAATCCTTAACTTGCTTCAACCTTATTTGTCAATTAAAAATCAAATCAGTAAAAGGTATCAGGATTTAGTATGGGGCCTTGAGCAGAAAACTTTAATCAAAGCTTTCCCTCCAGTCTTAGGAACCAAACAAAAAGCAACGCCTTGGCAAAATGTGAGTTGCCATTATAATTCAAGCTTGATTTTATTGTTTCATTAAATATACAGTAAGCAATGGTTCACAATCCTGGTCCTGGAGTACCTCTGTGGTGTTGACCTGAAAGTGAACAATCTATTAAAAGAAAGTATAAAAGAATGTACAAATAATAAATTAGTGGCAAGATACTTGTTAAACTATACTATTACCACATCTTATTTATTCTATGTCTATTTTCAAAAACACTGGTCCAAAATCAACAGATGCTAACTCACTTGTAGCTAATAAACTACAATAACCAGTCCAAACCTCCATGTTTTTGTTTGCTTACAGCATGAACCACAGGAAAGCAATCAAGTCAAATGAACAAGACCCTCACTGGACAAAACTGTTGCTCAATTTCCACCTTAAGGCAACATTAAAGCAGGAAACCATCAAATGTGCAGGGCAGGAGAACTCCAGGACCAGAGCTGGGGACCTCTTTGCTAATGGAATCATTTTCAATAATAGCTGAAAAGGTAAGCTTAGCTGCAGTTAGCTGCAACTCACCACTGTCCTCTGTTTGTTGGGCAGAAATACTCTGACAATGGGTTTCTGAGGTGAGCGGGGGTTGCCACGAGCACCGTCTGTGGGGGTCTGCAACACAGCTAGGGTGTTTGGGGCAGCAGGGAGGCCCTGAGCTGCTCCCAACTTCATCTCCAGCGGGCTGGGGGTGGGCGAGGAGCAGAATTCAGTGCCATTCCCGATTGCCTCCAGCAGCTGCTGCTCCCTCTGCTGTAAAGCATCAAGCTTACTGGTGTACTCTTCATAGGCCTGGAAGGAGGAAAGAACAGGTCAGTATCGCTCTGTGAATGTATTTTCACTATTGCGAAAAAAACTTGTATCTCCAAAACAGTAACTTAACAGAACAAGGAAAAAATGTTCTTAAGATCTATTAACAATATTTTATTTCAAGTATGTTGATTACTTCATGGATGTGGTCCATTCATCATGAAGTGTTGACATAACGTAAAAGGCAGGAGTATGAGGTTTTCTTATGAGAGCTAGAATAAGCATACATGAGCTACATCTCACCACATTTATGAAGAGCAGCACTCTTTGCATATGTAGCAAACTTACCTCCAGGTATATGGATGGGGGGTTGTGTTCACCACCGAACTTGTCCAGAAGTGCCTCTATGTGCTCTTGAGTCAGCTTAATCATCTGTTTGATGTTCCATATCTGCAAAAGCAAGAAATATAACAGCACTATAACCAGTGTAAAGAGTCTCATTCGCCTTCTTTCATTAGCTGGACTTACTGTGCTAGCTTTACACTAACAAAAAGCTGCTGTGGACTCTCTTTGCCAAGGTGTAAAAGCTGACACTGAATGCTAAATCTCTGGCCCTACCCAGAGGGAACACAGCAGCGTTTTTAGTTTGGTGCCGCGAGAACTTCCAGGCTCTTTAGCCAAGTGTGAGCTGAGCTCTGAAACTTGCGCCCTGAAAACACAACAGCAGCTCTCCAGCAGAGATGGTGATCAGATGTACAAGACAGTAGACCATTGTAACTGATAAGTTGAGAGTAAACATATATATAATTTCTGTTAAATCATCGTTGCTGAAACAACTTAGTTATGATGCTAAACATATTGCAACAACTAAAAATAACCCAACACCACCAGTAAATTCCCATCAGCTTCAAAGATTGTTGCTACATGTCCAGTTTTGTATCAGTAAAGCATTCACAAAGGTTTCCAAAACATTAATCTGTGTCAAATTGTCCCATGAAAGCTTATGCTTATTTTTTTTTAAAAAGAGGAACGATTTAATTCTCCATAACACTGTTATATATATCACAGTAATAGAATTTTGCCTTATTTCCAAATATGTACAAATGCTCTCAGGGATTTCCCATTACAATCTTAACTACTACACTCAAATGTCATTTTGCACGCTGAACTGGTCATATGCTCCTACAAGCAATCTGTGTCATGTGAGACCAGGGTCAGAAGAGGAAAACACTGCTGAAAGTATCAGCAAAGCAATAGCTAGAGTAAATATGTGGAATAAACTGCAGTGATCCACTAGTCAAGTGTCTTATTGTCAGAGTTCAAGTCTAAAGAGCTGTTATACACTTGGTCTGGTTTTGTGTGCAGCTACACTTTTGATTAAAAGCCAGTTTTCTCACACATTCTGACTTTTGAAGCTGCCACTTGATTATAATCTACTGCGCAGATAAACTAGCTGTCAAATTAGGAGGAAAAACACCCTCTGCTTCTTTTAAGAGACTCCTAAATGTGACTTAAAGGGTAACCACTTCAGCTTCACTCTGTAGTCTTGCCAGTATAAACAAATGAATGACAAAGGTGTCCCAACGTTTGTTAAAAGAAAAATAAGCTCCAATTGTTATGAACCTGTCCTTTGCAACATACCCGTCATGACAACAGACCACATGAGCCTAATATGGTCAAAAAGCAGCGGCAGGACTATTGCAAAAGTAGATGTGACCAAATCCATCTGTGATGTTTACAAAAGTACGAGTAGGCCTAGCGTCAAGGAAATCACTAGCATGTAGAAGCAATTATAAAATTATTAGAATTTAACTTAAAAGGACAATCTAGACTCAAACTAGCATTTAATATGCTAATTGTCATGTTATGTAATATTCTGTAGTGCAGTACTGCCTCCCTCAGCCTCGTCAGGTTGACAGAACTCATAATTTTGGATCTTTTTTTGTGTTTTTAATCCGTCAGTGTTCTTTCACTACAATACCCAGCAAGCACTATGTAAATACATCATACAACCACAGGGAATCCCATAAAGAAATGCTGAATGCTAGCAATGCCAATGCATAAGCTAATCAGTACAGACATGATATTCGTTCCTATTTGGCTGCCTTTTAACCAGCTAGCAGAAAGAAAGAAACATGTTTCAAACAGCCTGTTTATCAGTAACAGGCCCAAAGCCTTCATAGCCTCTCAAAAGTTCAACCAACCTTCAGGATACATCATCTTCCTAGTCTTTAGACCATAAAATCTCACACTAGAGACAACAGATGTACTACTGGCTCGATTTGTAATTTTGGCAGGAGGGCCCTTTTAAGGTCCGTCTGAAGCCAAAGACGAAATAAATTGGTATTAGGAGAGCTCAGCATACAGTTTATCTTTACAAAAGCTGATAAGCGAAGACGCCACAGAAAAAAGAAAGAACCATTCAGAGAGACTTTTGGAGAGACAAAACTCAAGCTAACTTTGGTTATCATGCCTTTCAGTTAACATGGTGTACTGCAACAAATTAGCACTGCATTTTCCTTCTTGATACTGCCTCGTATCTTAACCATGAACTGCCCTAATATCTCACTCAACTTCCTTTTCTTGCAATAAAGGGGTTTTTGTGGTAGTAACGTGGAACAGCGCAGCATCAGAAACCCACAGCCACCGACACACAAGTTACAGATCAAAAATTGACACATGTGATCATGCAGCTTAATGCAGCGTTTCTCAGCCCTGGTCCTGGAGGCCCACTGTCCTGCACGTTTTAGTGTGCTCCCTGCTCCCAACTCACATGATCCAACTAATCAGCTTATTAACAGCCCTTTGTTGAGTTGAAGTGGCTGTTAAAGCAGGAAACGCACTAAAATGTGCAGGGCAGTGGGCCTTCAGGACCAGGGCTGAGAAACAGAGGCTTAATGCACAGGAATATGTAATGCCAGTGCAGGCCCTCACTCCAGCAGCACTGGGAAATTAGGCAGACAGCTGGTTGGGAAGCACAAAGCATCATGTTGCCAGCAAGAGCGGGCACCAACTTCCATTAAAGCTTCGCTAAATAAGTCTAAGTTATTCCAAAACATGCCACTGAGCCAGTAATTGGGATCGCCGGGTACGGTAACGTTACATCATGTAACTAACGTTACGTTTGTCAGGCTACACGGACAAGATGACAACACTTGAGATTTGACCAAAAAGACGCCTGCTGTATATGTAGTGCAGGTTCAGGACTGACTGCAGTTTTTAAAAAAAGAAACAGCAGAAAGAGAAAGGATGCAGGCGAGGAACTGGTACATCATTTTACTTGGAAGTCGTTATTTCAGCGCAGAGAGCTAGGGAGCTAGCGCGGATGCTAACAGGCTAGCCGAGCTGTAGCTGTGGGCTCCAGCTGCAGTGAGCTCGGGAAAAATAAAGCGAAAAGCGAATGAAATACGACCAGGCCCTGCAATAAACACTGGCTCGGGGAAACTGCGGGGGAAAATATGGAAGAAAATAAAAAGCTGCCGTCACTCGACAGTGCACCTTGCGAGCGTTAGCTATATGCTGGCGTATTTGTCCGCGCACGACATAAAATTTCGGTTTTTGTGCATCATCTCGCCGCCTCCCCCCCTCCCCTGCAATGCATCCCCACGATCCATATTAGAGCCGGTGTTTCCTGAAGATGTCCATCCAGCGAGCTACGCTCAGCACCCGACTCTCCAGCCTCTCCTCTCCTCTAAGCCCCGTACCTCCTCGGGAATGTCCTGCTGAGCCTCGGGGATCCCCCCGGAGCAGGTGGAGGCCAGCCCCGCGCCCAGCTCCTCCAGCCCGGGCTCCCGCTCCGCATCGCGGTCCATGGGGTCTCCGTTGAAGACGGGCGGTGGGGACTCGGCGCTGCTCAACGCCGCCATTTTAACACTGCGAGAAACTGAGTGGAAAATAATAGAGGAAAGACACAGAGGAACGAGACAGGAGGGGGAGACAGATTCAAGAAATGTTTAAAAAAATAGTGCAGGAGTAAACGGGGAGAGTGGAAATCAGGACGAGTCTCCCCCATTCATGTGGAGCAGTTGTTTATATTACGCTTTTGAAAACATAGTAAAGAAAGTAGAGCGTATTTTCTTCTGACGGTTTTATAGTCTTACTGCTTCCTCTTTGACTGACTGTTCACCACGTTTGACAGTTTATCAAATATTATTTTAGATTTGTATTTTTTAGTACAGATTTGTATTTGTATTTTTTATCAGATTCAAAAAAATACATGTTAACGCCAAGGATAAACGTGGATAGTAGAAGTCAAGATAATTCTCCCCCCTTTTTGCTTTTGTTTGTTTGTTTTGGTATGTATGATTTATATGAAAAATAATAAAGAATGTATTTTCTTGTGAAAGTTTTATACTGCAGCTCACCACTTGAGTTATATATATATATATATATATATATATATATATATAATATATATATATATATAAAGGATAATATATAAAATATCCTTTTCTTATAATTTTATTGAATTACTTTTAATATTTGAGGCACTCAATGTTTGTGTAGTTTTATGTACCAAAAACCAGCCATAATTCATTTTTCATTCTTTCTTTTGCACCTCATACAAAAAGCAGTCCAGTCTGAAACACCTCTTATAACATCAGCGTAAATGGGCGGGGCTTATCAAGGGTCGGCTGAATAGGAGGGAATGCGTAAAAGTGTTGGTTCTTCATGACATCACAAAAACAACGAATACAAAACAGATTGTATGGACTGAATGGCACATGGACTGAAGGATACGTTTCGAAACTTTAACAGTGTTTGTATAGCACATCAAACTCTTATTCTAAAAAAAAAGAGGATGTTTTGTTTTTCCATTATATGGCTCATTTAATCATATTTTGATTTAAGGAAATGAAATAAGGAATAAACAAGTGTATAAACAAGTAAAAACAAGTAAAATGCATAAACAAGTAAAGTGGAAATCAGATTCAAGAGTTTTATTGTCATATGCACAATGAAACAGGTGGTTACGCTGCACAATGAAAGTCTGACTTTGTCAATCCACCCTTCGTTCAGAAAAAAACTGAGACATAAATAAAGAGGTAGACATAAATTAGTAAGCTTAGCAATTAAAATTACTTGTGCAAAATTGTGCAAAGAGTATGAAAGTAAAGTCACATGTGGAATGTTGTGCAAAGAGCAGTGAGCAGCAGTCATAAAGTGCACTGTGCATTATTGCAAATAACAATAGTATGGCAGCAGCAATAAACAAGGCTAATGGAAAATTGTCAAGAAAGTAGAAATAATTATTAAAATATTGTGAATATTAATTTTGTTGTGAATATTATTATATTAATTTTACTCAGTTACATGTGCTCAAATCGATTTGTACTTTCCTGAGTTGTTTTAAATTATGATATTTTCACATATATTTGTGCAGAAAGTAATCTACTCTTTATTCAGTCACATTGGTATTTTAGGAAATGGTAAATTTATTTCATATTTTCAGCATATGCAGAAGTGGCCAGTTCCTGAACATGCTCTGTATATGGAAAGGAAGTCACTTACACACATGGCATTTGGCAGATGCTCTTACCCAGAGTGATTTACAGTTCATGATATGGAGATAGGCTAATGCAGTGTTAGGACTCTTGCCCATGGACTCTTACCGGGACAGCATAGTGATCTTGGCTGGAAACTGAACCCCAGTCTGCATGCTTCGGGGTCTCTGTGTCAGTGTTTCTCAACCCTTGTCTTGGAGGCCCACTGCCCTGCACGTTTTAGTGCTTTTCCTGCCTTAATACACCCAATTTAACTGGATGACGGGCTGTTAATGGGCTGATTAGTTGGATGAGGTGTTTTGGGAGCAGGAAGAACACTAAAAAGTGCAGGACAGTGGGTTTCCAGGACTGAGAAACATTGTTCTGTGTTACCCACTACACTAGCATTGTAGTCAAGCCTACGAGATGCGAGTCTGAGTCAAGACCAAGACCCAGAGCAGTGAGACTGAGACCGGATTAAGATTTTTTCACAATATAAAATACAGGGTGTCCCAAAAAATTGACATCATTTGAGATGTGAATATCTGCGTAACTACATGAAATTAAATAGGCTTCATGTTGAACAATACGAGATTTATTTATCAAAATTTGAAGAAGAAATTCAGAGGGATGTAGATTTTATAACCGATTTCACAAAGCTTCACAAATGTAATATCTTCTGATACTGGTGGTCGTCCAGATCCCTTTGCCCTGTTTGAGATCATTTGAGGGAGAATTGGCTACGTTATTAGACTACGAAATGATGTCAATTGTTTTGGGACGCCCTGTATAACACACAATATAAAATTATTACATTATAGTCTTACTCCAACTGTGCATTGTAACTTTTGGAAGCAAATGATGGTGAGGTTATTCTCTAAAAGCTATTCAGAATCGCCACCTAAAGTCAACTGAATCTAAACCCAATAAAATACATCCATTTTTATCATTACATTAAAACATAGTGATAATAACATTCTGATCTCCCTTAGAGGACATTTGAATTTTGGAACCATCAACAAATAATATCCAGTTAAGCCATCATGGAAAGATCAGTAAGATCCTCAACCAGCAGCGAACCCATTTTATTTAAAATAATCTGTAGGGTCGTTAGTAGTGTGGAAGATTGGTGACTGTCCAGAGACAGACAGGTAACACTGCTTCACCTGTATACATTTCTGTTACACCACTGAATAAACTCACTTTCTTCTCATTTGAAGATGTTATCTGTCTAGTTTATTCTCAATATCCTTCATGTTCAAATAAGAATCTCAACTACTCACAACAGTCCCTAATTCATTTTGTGTTTCATGTTCTTTATGCTGGTGACAGCATCTGCGATCTCTGACCTCTGAGATGTATCACTTTGTTTAAGGCTTATTACTCCGATAGATGCTGGATGTACTAAGTTTACTGTGGTTTGCTACTCAGTACTTATGTCACTTGTCACATTTAACCTGGTACTTCTGTACTTTTATTGAAGTTAGTCTTTTTTCTTCTTGAGTCCCAGTTGCTGAATGAACTGACCAGCACATATTGAGAGGACAGCTGGCCAGCACCATATCAGCTGCAGTCTTTTTTCCAGTCTATAATCCATCAGTTTAGATAATTGTGGGTTACACTTTTTTTTTGCATCTGCCTATAAGGTGCAAACAAAATAATGGACAGGTGGTAAATAACGCTCTGCCAAAGACAGTACACCTTCAGAAAGATTAATCAAATAATTATTCTCTCTATTACTACCAACACTAACATGACATATCTGCCTTTTCTGTGGCTACTACAATCGTCCAACTTGGATACAAAGATTCTCATGATTTCTTTCCCTATTACTGCTCACATACTTAAAGAGACCATTTAATGGAAAACAATAATGATGATATATATAATCTTTTTGACAATTTCAAAGTGGTCCACACTCACACCCCTAGTCCATACATGGGAAATAAGTTGCAAAAACAGCTCATTTTGAATTCATGTTCTCTGATGTCACAAAGACCCAAGATATTTACATATATTTGCCTATTCAACCTACAGCAGTTCAGTCCCGCCTTCTTACACTTAAGTTATATGAAATGCTTTGGTCCGGACTGCTTTTTGAATGAGGCACAATGCTGGGCAGCCAATCAGAACAGAACTAATTCACATATATTTGTCTTAAAAGCAACATAACAATAAAACAGCTTGTTTAATTCAAAACAATAAAGTTGAAAAGTTGCTGTATAAAAATGATTAATGGTTTTTTTGGTACATAAAACCTCACAAGCATCATAAGTGGACCTCACAGGGAAAAATAAAAGAACAATTAAGGATCCTGTGCACTTTAGATGACATTATAAATACATCTGATAGTTCTTCTTTAAAAAATGAAACTTTAAAAAGCTATTTTGAGTTAAAGCACTTTGCTAAATAGGGGCATCTAAGAGTAGGTTATCTGGCAGCACTTCTGTCTGACATCTAATCCAGCATTTTCTGGAGTTTTTATTTTTGGTATTTTTCTGTTATTCATTTAATTCTATTGGATGGATTGCATGTATACAGACATGCCATCTCTAACTGTACAATATTTTATCACCTTCAGTGGTGAACGCCATTGTGGGATATAAAGTACTATGACTGTTAGTATTAACACAACTGCAAAACACAGACAGGAAGTATGTGAGTGAAATTGAGAAATTTGGGACTTTGCTTCCCACAGCTCAACATCAAAAGAACTCCCAAAGACAGACTTAAATAAAAATGAATATTTAATTCAAAATGAAATTATTTTTAACACCCACAACAAGGATAACTGAATACAGTCCTTGAGTTTTGCACATTCCGTCGACAGCTCGGTGGCGGTCACTACGTTCAAAACGAACGTCCCATGATCCATATTTATATGCAGGAACTCATCTTTAAGGGTCCTCAAGCATGTTCAACAAACAGGTCCAGGTGTAGAGTGTCTTCTTGTCTACTTCTTCTTCGTGGCTCTCTTCCCTTCTCCTTTCTTGGGCTTTCCTTTTCCACGCAGCTTCCTGAGACGACGCATTTCCTCCTTGAAGTCCTCGTGTTCGTCTCTACACGGACATGAACACATCAGTCAGACCATCACTCACCTACACCAGTGTGTCCCAAACCTGGCCTGAGGCCCACTGTTCTGCACATTTTAGCATGTTCTCAGCACACCTGTGTTAAAGGGGAATTCCACCAATTTTTCACAATTTGTGCATAATGTAATGGTTAAGAAGTAAATAAAACAGGGTGATTCACTCGAAAGAGGCCCCGGATATTCTGTAATAACTCTTGCTAGGACAAAGCAATCTGAACGAAACAACATGCAATGTGCTCCTCAGTATATGGAGCTTCGAACAAGTCGGGATGCCCCTGCGTTGGAGCGATGAGGTAGGCGCCGGACAGCTGTCGCAACGTTTAACATTCGCCTGCAATTTCCGGATGCATACCCCCGTACCCCTTAATGTGTCTGGCAGAAAATGGAGATCACTTCCAGCAACGGATGTAATGCAATCGATTACGCACATGTCAAGATATGCAGCGGATTTTTTTGGTTCAGATTGCTTCATCCTAACAGGAGTTACAACAGAATATTCAGGGCCTCTTTCGAGTGAATCTCACTGTATGGCAAAATGCCATGTGAAATAGGAACCAGACATCCAAAGTGTTTAATGCGCCTAAAACAGGGGTGCTTGACTCTGGTCCTGGAGGAACATTGAAATAGTGGCAAATGTGAAAAAATCCATTTTCTTTGGGGACTATTTTGCCTTAGATTACCTTTCTTGTATCCTTCCACCATGAATGGATTAAAATAAATTGACTAAAATACATTAGACCAAAAACATTATCACAAAACTATCATTAAACAATGTCTCAGACATCAGTCACTGTATTCATAATCATCTCCTGTAATAAGTTCCTGGGAGGGAGCTTTTAGAGGTGTTCAACTTCTTAGATGTCTAGTTTCTATTATATCCATCACTGTGAACAATTCTAACTCCGCAACTTCCTCTAGAACAGATGATTTCCCACCAAACCACTCTGAATGACTTTGTTGGTATGTTAACCATTTAATTATGCAGACATTTCGAAAAAACCGGTGGAGATCCCCTTTAAGGGCAGTGGGCCTCGAGAAGCAAGGTTGGGAAACACTGACTGACCTACACCAACACCACGCACTGCAGCTCTGTGTGGCACAGCTTACCTAAAGAGCCCCATGTACCGGAGCCTCTGGGTCAGGGAGTAATAGATCTTGTGCTGGGGGTACCAGTCGTACACCTCTTTCCTCTGGGCCATGGGCGGCTCCTTGAACAACTGCACCACCTTCATGGACTTGGAATCCGTGGGACGCACCACATCTCCAAAGATGCGCGCACTAAGGCGCGCCATGCGCACCGCGTAACTGGACAAACCGGACATGACTGCGCAAGGACAAGACGGTTGGGTTAGTTTGCACAATTACAGTCCACTCCTCAATCCACAAGAGAGCCTAAACTGACCACAGGAGCTCACACTCTTTTATTGTTTCGCATCAAACATTTCTGACATGAACTGAGGTTGGACAACATTTACTGTGGTCACTCCGGTCACTGACAGACACAGTCGGCTTTCCGAAAGACAAAATGGCTCACCGCTCACTGAACTCCCGGAGGAATCTCTCCGAGATAACGAAGCAAGGTTTTATAACGACGATGCAGTTTTATAACGAAGCCATAATACGATATAAACACATCCGCTACAAACAGACTTTAGACTTATTAGCTACTCAAGTTGATTTAAGTGTAACCAGACGCTAAACCATCACGCGTGTGAAAACAAGAGAAACCGCGCATGCGCCAGGGAGCGCTCCTGATTGGTGAACTTGTGACGGATCAGCTTGTCTTTTCGCCAAATGCCGACACAATCCTCTAAAACCCCAACAACTTGCTCCATTTCTCATTTTAACGGTAATATTCTACTAATTCAGGTATGGAATAAAAGTTATACTGACTACTGGAACAAATTAAAAACCTTTGGCAAGTATATTTATTATTGTGAGCGTTAAGGACCTGGCCAAAGATGATCGCACGTTGTAACTAGATAAGCTACTGTCCTCCGCTAAATATTAGACTGTGGGCGTTCTTGGTTCGTGACTGAATGTTTTAATCCTCGCAAGTGCTTCGTATAATGTTGTATTATATTTAAGTAAGCGAATTATTCGCTTATTGGCTTTATTATCAGCCTAAGTCTTTAATAGTAAATCGCCTAACGTTGACCTCTAGCTTTCAAAAGATCTTTTCGAAAAACGGTACGTCTTTGAAATGACTCCGTGTGCGTAAACAGGCTCTGAAGGATGGTTCTGCGTTGGTCGAAGAGCTCAGTTTTTCCACTTAGAAAAAAATGTTTAAGGATTAAAGCGCCTTCTTTATGACAAAAATATGGTTAACACTAAATACAAAACAAATCTAATCTGTAAGTATTAACAGACACGTGTTTTTGTGTTATTTTATCGCTTCTGTCAGGTACGGCGACAGTAAGTGCTGCTGAGTGGCAGCATACTTATAGATGAGGACTGAACTCTTGTGGTGTCCATTAGTTACTAATGGTATTCTGTGTTCTCCTGATGTGACAGTGTAAAGGATTGTAATGATTTTACAGGTGTTCCAGGTGCATCTGATGGTTTCCTAATGGGGTCTAGAGACCTTGTGGTCTCTAATGGTAGCCATTAAGCTGATTCCCCTTAGAAAGCAAAACCATCAGGTTTTAGTCCTAATGGTTCTAAAATGCAGGTGTGAGTCATAGTATTTTCACTAATCTTCAGCAGATTCAGTTACGCAGACATTTTCTATTTCTATATAAGAATTTTGTTGATTAGCCCCATGTTTAACGTTGCGTTTATCATGTAGAGGCTAAATGGTTTTATGAGTTTCCTGGATTTGTTGCATTACATGTTTAAACTGTAATACAATAGGACGTGATAGAAACTGTCATTGGTGTTAAATGTAGTCAGTGGTGTTACATCATAATTGAACTGATGTTTTTGAACGAAATTAACAATATTATCAATATATTGATATTTATCAATATCAATATTCAATATCAATATTATCAATATATCAAACACACACTGTTTGCTTCCAAATGACCCAACACTGTGAAAACTAAGGAAAAAAAATGAGAAAAAATTACAATCCTGAAAGAGGGGGACTGTTTTTACTGACCACCACATATACGATCACACTATTACAGAACTGAGATCTCAATTTAAATGTATGAATACGTTTTTGTCTTTGTTTTTAATTTAGGACTAGATTAAGTTAATCCCAGAGCTAAAAGACTGTCTATATATTTACAAGAGGGCCTGGCTCGCAATCTCTGTCCTAGTTCATTCCCAAAGGTGTTTGATGGGGTTGAGGTCAGGGCTCTGTGAGGGCCAGTCAAGTTCTTCCACACCAAACTCACCTAGCCATGCCTTTATGGACCTTGCTTTGTGCACTGGGGTTCAGTCATGCTGGAGAAGAAAATGGCCTTCCCCAAACTGTTCACACAAAGTTGAAAGCATACAATTGTCCAAATGTCTTGGTCTGCTGAAGCATTAAGAATACCCTTCACTGGAACTGATGGATCTAGACCAACCCCTAAAAAACAACCCCTCAGCATTATCCCTCCTCCACCAAACTTTACAGTTGGCACAGTGCAGTCAGGCAGGTAACATTCTCCTGGCATTCGCCAAACCAAGACTCATCCGTCAGACTGCCACAGAGAAGCATGATTCATCACTCCACAGAATGCATTTCCACAGCTCCAGTCCAGTCGTGGCGGGTTCTTTTGCTGATGTTGCTTCCAGGGGGAATTAGGACCTCTTTAGTAAGTGACTCAACAGAGGATAGGCACTGTGTACTTCAGCACTCAGTGACCCCACACTGTGAGTTTGCGTGGTCTATCACTTCGTGGTTAAGCTGTTGTTGCTCCTAGATGCTTCCATTTCACAATAACAGCACTTACAGTTGACAGGGGCAGATCTAGCAGGACAGGAAATTCAAATAACTGACTTGTGACAGAGGTGGCTTCCTATTACAATGCCATGTTTGAAGTCACAGAGCTCATCAGTCAACTGATTATACTGCAAGTGTTTGTCTATCGAGACTGCAAGGCTATGTGCTTAATTTTATCCACCTGTTAGCAATGGGTGTGGCTGAAAGACCTGAACTCGATAATTAGGAGGGGTGTCCCAATACTTTTGTCCATATGGTGTATGTACATGAAAATGTGTGTGTGTGTGTGTGTGTGTGTGTGCGCGTGTGCATATATACATATATATTCTTAGAATTCCAGATGATGATAGGAGAGCAGTCCATGGTTCTGTGGTAGACACACCACAGAGCATAAAACCACAGCAGCGCCAAAATACTGAATGTTCAGCTCTGGGTGTTTTAAAAATAAAACCACATCATTGTGAAGCCATAGCCTGAACTACTGATAGCTGCCAGACTTGTGTCATGTGTTTGTTTGTCCACTAGATGGAGATCTGCTCATGAAATCAAGATCAGCCTAAAATAAATAATAAATAAATAATGTGATAGACGGCTCTCTGCGTTAGTATGAAAGTCACGATTTTCCTTCTCTCACAGAGGATGTATCTATTAACGCAATTCTGGGAACCAAAAAAAAAAACATCCAAGATAACGCATCCTCACATAGCGCAAGACAAATTGCTCTGGTCTATCTGCTGCATTTTCAGATTACATTGTCTGGCATCCCAGAGTGCTGCAAAGTTCCAGCCTTGCCTGAAATATAATTACAATCCAGTTGTCAAACTGTCATTCACACTGTCCTGGGGAAAATTTGTTGCATGGTCAAAATTTCAGTTTAAAGTGGCAAAATACAAGCCGTCCAGGAGTGGAGAGAACTATTAAACCCACTTTTATTCACTCCCTCAAGGCAGAGATTATGCAAATGCTGCGTTTTGACGTCCACATTAAATACGCTGCTACTTTTCCAATCTCCCTGAAACACAGATATTCTATTGTTTCAGCTGCTCTGCCATGTCATTCTGACACTATGGCTCTCCTGAGAGTGTCCGCGAGGTGGGGAAAACAAAGGCAGGGACTAAGTGCCGCTTTAAAGTCAAGTGCAGTCAATTTGTCCTCTCCTCTATGAGAGGGTAAAAGGACGAATACTTAACCAACCACTGTCATGGCCTTTATCACATGGTTGTGCTGGTTTCATGGACATGGATGAGGACTAATCTTGGACCAAACTAAAGGTTATTGCAAGCGGCCATTCACCATTAAAATCCCCTTTAGTCCAAGTTTAGGATTAATTTGGGGATTAATCAACTTTGGGTCTGGGAAACTGGCCCATTATATCCCCGAATGACTATAGAATAACTGAAGATGAAAGATATAATCAAGTATTCAATGATTATCAAATTGCTGTATACATTTTAAAGGGCCCATATCATGAAAAACTAATTTTTACTTCCTTTTTTAAATAAAAGAGTTTAAAGGGTCCATATCCTATATGCTCCATGTAATTTACTTTTTCCCCTGAGATCCTCTTGCCATTTATGTGGTTTTATGCACCAAAAACAATCATAATTCATTTATGCATGACAATTTTCCAACCTCTCTTCATCTCCTAGAATTAAGCAGGTGGTTTTTGTTACTGTGCCTTTAAGAATGATAAATGCACTGTGACTAATTCACAAAGCAGTAAATAAGAAGGCTGAAACACTGCTTATAATGCCCCTAAGTAGGAGGAGCCAAACTGCGGTCTGAATAGGGGAATATATGTAAATGTGCTAGTTTTTGTGACATCACAAAAATAATTATTTCAAAACACACTGTTTTTGCAGCTTACTTTGCATATACAAAATGTATGAACTGAGTAATGAACGGTACGTTTTAAAACTTTAACAATGTTTGCGCACTACACTTATTTTAAAAAAAGGGAGGGAAGGTTTTTCATGATCTGGGCCCTTTAATATGATATGTAAACAATGTCCATACAGCCCATATATGGAAACTAAACTGCAAAAAGAGCTGTTTTGATTTCATCGTCTTTGTGATGTCATTTACATTTAACGCCTATTACATTTGCAACACAACCTCCCTAAAGCCAATCAAAAAAAAATTTAAAAAAAAATTGGTCCCATAAGATACCAGTATATAATCTGTCAATAATGCAATCTGTCAATAATTTATTTTGTATTAATCATGAATAAGTTAGTTGTCTATGTACACAGGCCCTTTGTGGATAAGACTGGACACCCATGGTCTGTTATAGACATTGCATACGTGTTATATGTTTATCACCAAACATTAAAGGCACCGTACAGTTTCTAAAGATAATGAGAAGTGATTAAGGAATTGTTCAGGCAACTTGAAAACACTGGCCATCTGCAATTATGACTAACTTACAACATTTGAAATAAGATGTGAAATAAACTGAAAACAACTGTGCTATTACTCTCAACCACATGCTGTCTCACAGATGTTTCTTGGTTGCTGTAAACTGAAACACACTGTACAACAAATTACAGAAGACTCTTCTTTCACTGCTTTGATAGTGGAACACAGTGAGACCCTCAAGCTATATTTGAATTTGTTTGTAGGTTAAGAAGGGAATTCAAATATTAAAATAAATATTATGCACTCCTAGGGAAAAAAAAAACTATAACTACACACATCTGATTTATGAAAAGGTCCTGTCTCAAAACACACTGTCCGATAATACCTAACACACTATCCCATAATACCTAACACACACTGTCCCACAAAACAACACTGCCCAATAATACCTAACACACCTAACACACTGTCCCATAATACCTAACACACTGTCCCATAATATG